AAATTATATTTTGGCATTTAATGACCTTTGATGAGTTGATCTGTTGCTAAACAAACAAAGTGAAGAATGTATAATCATCCCAGAAATTCGGAAATAAAGGTTTCAGCAGTGCAGTACTTGTTGGCAATTGAACTCGCTTGACGAGTTTTATTCTCAACAAAGAGGATTGGCACGCTTCTATATTTTTTTCAATTTATTGATCATTACAACATCCGCAAGCCTTAATTATAATGAGCGTATTATATTAGAAAGTATGAAAAATAGACTTTTATGTTGTAATGATGGAACCATGATAATGGTTTGTTTTAAGGAAATAAAACATAATTTTCTAACGTTCATTATCTCAAGATGTTTTTTAAGTAAAACCTTGTTTGTGTTTTGAAAGCCAAAACCGTTTCGTTCAAACAAAACAGAAGGAAAACAAAAAGTTAGGTTGCCTTCAAAACTGCTTGAGAAGTTAATTAAAAAATAAAACACGATATTTTCTATTTAAATGCATTGAAAGAATGTTTTCTCTGGCTTTGCTTTTCTTTATTTTAAAATTTGAAAGCGAAAAACAAACTAAAATAATTAAATAAATGAAAGCGGTATAATTCCTACAATGATTCTATTTATTTATTTATATTTCGTCCGAAGATGCAAGTGAATATTTAAAATAAAAAAAAAATAAGTCGATATCGCATGATAAGGAAAGCAATTATCATCCAATAAATTATATATTTTTGAAACCGTTATAGCCATGAATAAATTGATATACGTATTTTAGTTCTTTATAGCCATACAACCGAGATCGTCGTGCAGTTATTCACCAACTAGACAGCTTCTACCATATACCATGGTTCGATTCCTGTTAGCGCCGCTGTGAACAAAAACCGATAAATACCTGCTGTACGTTCAACAAAGAAACGAAAGGTAGACGATCACCAAAAAACCTATATAGAATGTCCTCTATTCATAAATTCATCTGACACTGTTTCGGGGTTTTTAGGTGACCGTTGTGACAACTTTGCTATTAATTATCTTCTCTCACAGCAAGCTAAGAGACCAGATCTTCCCTTCGGCCAGGGAGAACTTCAACTACCTCTCTGTCCATTTCTGACTGCTACTCTACATCTCGACGGATAGCTTGTGTGACGGACATTGAAAGCAAATAGCCTAGACGCGCATATGAAGGTTAATTTCCGCCTAGCAACAAAATAAAGATTACGTGAAGTCTTATGACATTTTGGGAAGACAGGTCGAAAGGTCGACTGACCCAATTACCCGTAACGGAAACTGTCTAGACAGGGGATGCAAGTACGTAAGAATTCGCGCCAAAAAACTAAGACACGTGACAGTAAAAGATTCACTCGAGGATCAGTTGTTACCTGGACTTTGAAAAAGCAAGACCGAAGCCGAGATGCTAGTGGTTCACGAACGGAAAGATAAGATGCATTCGATAGTGATGACTTATCTAGTTCTATCCAGGCAACTCCGGACACGGAATATAAGGAAATAACGTGTTCGAAAATCCCAATGTGAAGACGTATTAGAAAAGATATATGTTGATGATTCAACCTGCGCATATACCTCCGTTATAAGCTAACTTGTAAAAAGAAGAAGAAAGTGTACATTCCTGTTACAAGTCGAGCTGTTTTCAGAAGAAGAAGAAAGTGTACATCCCTGTTGCAAACCGAACCGTCTACAGAAGAAAAGGAAGGAAAGAAAAAGACGAAACAAGAGAAGAAGAAAGTGTATACCTCTATTACAGACTGGCAGTGTACGAAATGGTGTTTGTGCCGAGAAAAGAAAAGAAAGGACATTGATATATATATATATATATATATATATAGAAAGAAAAAAAAAAGAGAGAACTGAATACAAAAGATAAGTAATCACATTTTGGACCCGTAAGTATAAAAGATATACACACACGCACACATGAATATTATGTTTTTTTTCGCAAACACCTTTCCACATGTAAAATAATAATTATAATTACTATCCCATCTCTTTTATGTATGTGCGTTGGCTTCTGCATTCAATTCATAGTAATTCATACTTGTACTTTATATGTTCGGGTTCAGTTGAATCCATTTGGGTGTTCGGCGAATTTGATATCCCAAATAAGTTCGAGATCTGGTCGTCGGATAGTTTAACTCATACTTATCTGTTCTTTTATATTTTGATATATGTATATTTGTATATATTAAAATTATTGTATCAAATCGCTTCAAGCCTTTATGTTCCTCCTTGTATTGTGGATCAGTATTTGTGTTGAAAACGAAGCGGACCTGGGAAAGATTACTGTTCGATTATCCCAGTGGAACAGTAGCCGTAAAAATACTTTTTTTTTGTTTACCAATTGTCCACTCTCTCTCCACAGGTGTGAGTGTATATATCTCCTAGTCGGCATATGGTCGCCTTACAACCCGTTCGTCGACTACACGTTCGTTGACTTCTCTTATCTAGAAAGCAGCTTGACTACACGAACCTATGACCGAAATACCCTAGTTCCCGACAGAGTGTCACTTTATCCCGAATATTTCTATGTATATCCTTTTTCCCTTTGCCGTTAATTCTGTCTTCTCTCATAGCAGGCTGAGAGACCAGATCTTCCCTTCGGTCAGCGAGAACTTCACTACCATCTCTGAACCTATGACGGATAGCTTGTGACTAACCTGCTTCTCTGGTTGTGTCTTCTCTTATCTAGAAAGCAGCTTGACTCACTTTACCGAAATCCCGTTCCCGACATATTTTATCCCGAATATTTCTATGTATGCAAGAGTATGCTGAACAACAGCAAATCTTCAGTCCCTCCTCTATTCAATCAATTTGAAGTTGTTGTAGTAAAGAAAAGACTATCAACTGATAGTAGCCACTGCAATAGATCTCTTCTGTTTCTCGACCGCAACACTTGTAGCCAAATCGCAGTTCAAACGACAGCCCATCGTAAAAGTCCAACAAAGTAGAAACGACAAAATAGTGTCACACGTCCAACCTTCTCACGAGCAAAAAAAAAGTCGCCAGAAAAAAGAAGCGCTTGCTTTATACAGCCGAGCACCGACCATAATTTGCATGCGAATGACGAGACAACGAGATTTCGCGTTAACTGTCCGAGACCGCCTGGCATAAAACATGGGCGCCGCCATTTTGGTTGTAACCGTTGAGCAGCCGGATTTTGCACGACGCACAGATTCGTGGGCGTTTCCGAAGTAAGCCGTGTTCACAATTTTCCCCACAGTAGTCTTGACATCTACAGCAGATACTTGCTCGGAAATTCTCTTTCAACTCCACACTTGACTCTACTGAAGTACCCATACCTGATTTTCTCCCTAGAACAGAGGTTCTTCTGATTGATATGGACATAACCCCGTCATTGGTCTCGGATATCATTTCTAAATAAGACTTCCATAAGGCAGTCGAAATCTGCTCCCCAACTGGCTGCAATTCTTTCCAAACATTACAAAAGCCTCGCTGCTTCATGCTTCCCTGCTTATTGGATGGCCACCTATGTAGTTCTTTTTAATAAAAAACATTTTTTGAGAACCCTATGACCCCTTCAAACTGTCACCCTATTAGTCTCTTACCGTTTTCGTCAAAGTATTCAAGGCTCTAATCAATGCTGAAGTGGTTCAGCACCTTCTCACGATTTACTCTCGGGCAGACAATATGCCTTCCCTTTGGCTAGGTCTACCGCTGATGAGATAACGGCCATCACTGAATATATAGGGTGACCAAAAAAAAACGACAAATTTTTAAGTGCGTATTGCCAGACATGAGCAAGTGGCAATACTGCGAGACAGTGACCTTGAGCAAGTAAACATTTCGCCATTTAGAATTCAAGATGAAATTCACAGTATCCCAGCAGAGATGTTGCAGCAGTCAAAGAGGAATCTCAACAGCAGATTTTAAGAATGCATTCGTACAGGAGGACGCCATCTACAGGACATAATTTTTAAAAAATGAAAATTCCATCATTGTTTCTTAAATGGCATGTTTTAAGGTTTCAATTAGTATGAATAAAAGATTTTTCTTCCACCACTCTTGGTTTTACTGGATTGTTAAAAGTTTCCTGTTTTTTGGGGTCAGCCTATATATATATATATATATATATATATATATATATATATATATATATATATATATCAAGCACTTGATAATAACGCCGAAGCTCGAGCTGTGGCTCTAGATATCTCGAAGGCGATTGACAGGGTTTTGCACGCTGTTCGTCTACGTAAGCTTCATGGGTATCGTATTACAGGATTATTTCAATTAATCCAAACGTTCCTATCAAATCCTGAAATGAAGGTCGTTTTGGACGGGTTCGCTTTCAGTTCCTTTCACACGAACGCGAGTGACCCCACCCCAAGGCGCTATCCTGAGGCCCACGCTGTTTCTGATCTACATTAATGATCTTCATGATGCCATCAGTTCCCAAGCTGTTTAATTACAGATGACACCATTTTAACGTGCATTTAATACTGTTCATTCATCTCGAGGTTCTTGAGAAAATCCAAAGAAGGATCTGTAACTTAATCGATCCTGACTTGGAATCTCGACTTCAGTCATTTTCTCACCGACATGACGTGGCTTCCCTCTGTCTTTTCTACAAATATTTTCATAGCAACTGCTTTTCCCTCCTAGTGCAGCGACTACATGAATTTAAGCGCGCTACAAGATTGGCATATAGGTCCCATCCGTTTACTCTCGAAAGAATTAAATGCAACTGCCACCCCTACGCTAACAGTTTCTTTTCTTCCCACCGATGTAAGTTCCTTTCATTTACTTGCTGCCCTGATAATGACAATCTTCAAAAATTTGAATTCAACGTCAATGGCAATCTTCTGTCTTCTTGAATCCCATTCATTTTTGTCCTTTCCTCATTCCTTCCTATACCCAATCTTTTCTCTCACTTTCACTCTCCGTAACACCATTCCTATGAGCGGGATTCCCGCCTGTCTTGGGGTCAAATGGTTAAAAAAAAAAATTGAAGAATTAATTTTGCACCGAGTTGTTTTCTAATAGATAGATAGATAGATCATGAACAGACTGAGATAGATAGATAGATAGATAGATAGATAGATAGATAGATAGATAGATAGATAGATAGATAGATCATCAACAGACTGATAGATAGATAGATAGATAGATAGATAGATAGATAGATAGATAGATAGATAGAACAGATAATGAACAGACTGAGATAGATAGATAGATAGATAGATAGATAGATAGATGAATGAGAATGAACAGATAGATAGATAGATAGATAGATAGATAGATAGATAGATAGATAGATAGATAACAGACTGTGATAGATAGATGAACATACTGTGATAGATAGATAGATAGATAGATAGATGAATAGAACAGACTGAGATAGATAGATAGATAGATAGATAGATAGATAGATAGATGAATAGATAATGAACAGACTGTGATAGATAGATAGATAGATAGATAGATAGATAGATAGATATGTGTAATCGTGCACGTGAAATCTACGCAGTGCAAGTAAGTTTATAAAATAATTAAGTTATCATAAAATTCCTCCTATCTAATGCACTTATGCAGATCTAATTTGAATCAATTTTATATTTAAAAGCAGCCAGTTTTTCTGTCTCACTATATTTTTCTCTCGCAACATTTTTTTACAAAACCAATAGTTTTGCAAAAAAGAAAATATATATATATATATATATATATATATATAGAAATTGAAAAATTAGCTTTTTAAAAAAAATGATGATACATTTCAAATTGCAAAGTAATTTTTAGAAATCGGATCTATTTTTCCCGTGACCAAAACAGATGTAATGGAAATGAGAATTAAGAGTATTTACTTTATTTTATTCGCATTTCTCAGAGCAACTCCGTACAACAGAGTTAGACACCAAGTTTAGAATATTCAGAGACAATATCAACAATTAAGAGAACTCGATCGGTATCGAACTCACTTCACTCTAGTAACGGTCTGCGAGATCAACATACAAGATATTGCTTCTCGTACATGAAACGCATTTCTTCAAAATCAACTTGGAGTAAACAGGAAGGGTAAGATTTCAAACGTCCCGTCACGGAGGTTGATTTTGTTTAGCGACATATCAACGTCTCTATTGGTTATTTAATACCAAATTCTATATACACTATTCCGACTATTGTCCTCATCTTTGTCGCCATATTTATTACAACGTTTCGGCCGTTGTACGCTCCGGCCTACTTGAACCCTTTATTTCGCTCACACTGGTAGACTGTTCTAGTTCCATGTGCCATGTCTAATAGATGTCAGTTATCAGTTATCTCCTGTTAATTCCCCTCTTTAATTTCTACACCGCCTTAACCAGATATTGAACTCACACTCTTTGGGTCCTATCACTGGATCTAACCAACGCCTTTATCCACTGCGCCATGTGTCCTTGAGTTCGAATAATGTAAATAGTGTACATAATACCTCACCTAGAAATATAGACAAAATCTATATATTTTGTACATTGTTTTATGCTTTCAGCTATAGATATTTCGTACATAATTTTATAGTTACTCGATAAAGATTTTCCTTTAGATGAATAGTTTGTAAATCATAAATAATACTGTTGGTAATTTTACTCTAAAAATATATTTTCTATTTTTTTAATATTGCATTGATTGTCATTTTGTTATAAAATGTATTGTTACGCATTTTATTATAAAAACGTATTATTGATTTTTGTTTGGGGTTCAATATTCGCCCATAGCTGGGGCCCTAACAGGTGCTACCACCCTGAGTCAGGGTGAACATGGGAACAACAGCATTTAAGAGAAGGTTTCACGCTCCCAAAAATCTCTAATCTCCCGATCAGAGTCCTTACTACCGGGTGTAGTTTATCGTCATACCCAGGCTGGCCTTTCGTTTGACTTGATATAATAATCTGATATTTTGGCCGAATATCAACCATTTTGAGCAACTATCTCAGCCAGAGAAACCTTTTACGGACATCATAATTGATATTTGATCAACAGTATAATATTATTATTACTAGTTTTTGCCCATGTCCTCAAAAATTTACGGCGGTGTTTAAGTTATTTCGCAGTTCATTTGTAACTCTAAATTATCAGAAGATTCATTTTTCTTCTGTATTTTCATGTTTATGTTCAGTTCCCCACCCCCGAAAAGTAAACTGAGAATAAAATTAAGTTAAGATAGCAATTGATCTTTTACATTGATCTTAGATTAGTAGGACTTGTATCAGTAAACCATTTTATATCGAAAACATTCTTACGTACTTTTTGGCTTTAAATAACCTGAAAACGACTGATAGGCTGTAAAAAAAAAAAATCAATCAATCATATTTATAGTTCCAGTTGCAATTTAAAAATTCCTACAAGCCAATATTTCTAATATTAACATGTGACATTTCTACGACATTAAAAGAAATCCCCACAATGCAGAGAAAATTCGTCCATTCCCACATAGCAAACTATTTTGGTGACGTTGAAAATATTTATTTATTTTATTTCAGTTTCTATTAAAAATTTCCTAAATTGCTACAATTATGTGTAACTGTACATGCTTAATTCTAAAATAAAAACGAAAATGTAATAAAATCTACCGTTTTGGACTTACCGACACTAACATTTCGGACTCATTCGCGTCGTTGGCGACTAGGGTACGACAGCCATCACTGGCGTTGCTTGTATACATTCGCTGCTGAATAGACATGCGTGAAAGATTACCTAGTTTACGGCCATTGTACTGTTGCTCACTAATTGAGATAAGTATCTCAATTAGTGAGCAACTGAAGACTTATTGCGTGCGCAATAATAAAGACAAGTGAATATCTGTTCAGCAGCAAATGTATGCAGACAACGCCAGTAATAAGTGCCGCGATGCGAATGAGTCCGAAACTTTACTGTCATCTGGGAAATTTTTAAAAGAAACCTAGTTCGTGTCCTACACGGCAAATTAGCCGAATATGTTGCGCTAGTTCTTTAATGTGATAGACAAAATATTTTATTTCTAATGCAGAATTCCAGTCTCTCTCTCTCTCTCTCTCTCTCTCTCTCTCTCTCTCTCTATCTCTCATTCTATATATATATATATATATATATATATATATATATATATATATATATATATATATCTCCAGGTAAGGTGAGAACGAATAGAGTACAATTCCAATGTTCGTAACATTTAATTTAAAGGACGGCTGAATACAAAGTAGAGCAATATACACACACACACATATATATATATATATATATATATATATATATATATATATATATAAAGACGATTGGCCTGAAGATTGCGTCTAGCATGAAACAGCCTGTCGTCTCGAAGTGTTGACTTCAGTGTTCACTTTTATATCTACACACTCTATCTCTGATATTGAGCACTTTATCCCATAAATATAGCACACCTTAAGAGTATATATATATATATATATATATATATATATATATATATATACACCCTCTAGGAAACCATAAATAGCTTTGATTTCTGAAGCTTTATTAAAAAGACTTGCAGACGTTTAAATAAATTAACCGAAACATAATGATCGATCTCGCTGAGCCATTTTCCAGTGGGGATTCAATGCTTACTCTGTGCTGCACATAACAGTCTCTGTACCCGAATAAAATAATCTTAGTAAGTTTTAGGTTACATCCAATACGTATCTTCCGTTTCGAAGTGGTTGTCTAATTACAGAACATGTATATCTGAGCTCCCTCGGTAACATGAACTATTAACGTGATTTCACCGGAAGTCTTATGTAAGTATGGTAAATATGGAGTAAAAGATGGTAGGTAATTTAGATTTATGAAATGTAACTTTGATACTGCAGTATATGTCTCACAGGAGAATATGCCAGAAAATACTTTCATTCGCGCTCCTTCAGAGAAGTCAGAAGCAGTTTTGACTTGAGACGTCCTCGCTAGCTGGGATTACGATTCGTGATTCACTCAATGTCAGTGACGACCTTGACAGATGAATATGTGTCAGCCAAGCTTCACCTAGGTTGAACGCATAGGCAAGAACTGTATAATAGAAAATATATAAAAAAAAAAAAAAAACGCCCCAGAGATTAGATGGGAAGTCTCTCAGACATCGCACACGATATTGTGAGGTCCGCGTTGGGCTACAATATTTGCTAGTATTGTGATGTTGGTTGATTTTGTTTGGTGGCATATCAACCTCTATGGGTTATTTAATGTCAAAATCTAAATATTTTAAACGCTAATTTGTGCCTTTAAACACGGATAAAATCTATTGTTGGTCATTTTCTTTATATACAGGGCGACTGAAAACTCCCCATTTTAAAATACTTATAATTTATTTATTAACTCTAATTTTGACAGGAAAGTATGACGTTTAATTTGAAGTTCGATATGGATACCAGATTTTGCTACAAGCTTCTCGAGCCGTCCAAGTGATTTCTTATGGTATGGAAGACATAACTTACATTCGCCCTTCAAGGTCTTCCAAAGCTTGGATTCGTATAGTAGACTAGCACCTTTTTAACCCACCCCGAAGAAAAAGTCACAGGGTGTTAAGTCAGCCTCTCATACAAAAAATAGGAATTTACTTATCAATCACCCTGTATATATATATATATATATATATATATATATATATATATATATATATATATATATATATACATATATGATGGCGAGTGCAGGAGTCACCCTTCTGCCTGTTGTGCGGTGCTTATGGTAACCAGTTCCACATAATGTCATCCTACCCGAAGGCGCTACAGAGCGGCTGGTACACCTTCAGATATAACTAATATATAATATTCAGCTGCAAGAAGTGCTAGTATACCCTGGACGGACCTGAAGCAAGGTGCGACTGACACAAGGCAGAAGACCAAGTCAGAGTACTCAAGGAACTGGAGAGTGTTGGTTGACGCTACACTGCCGGTGGAGGTTATTGTGTCCGGACTGAGGCCAGATCTAGTGTTGTTTGATATCGAGAAGCAACATCAGTGTCAAGGGATTGAAAAGGCTCACGAAAGAAAGCTGCTTCGGTATGAGGAACTTGTGGCTGAAGTCCGTGACAGGGGATACGGCTGCACCCTGGTGCGGTTTGAGGTTGGCTGTAGCGGATTTCCTGCTGCTTCCTCAAAGAGATTCCTCAGCTGAAGATTGCAGCTGGTTTGGAGCATTTGATGTGTACATGTGTTCTAATATATATATATATATATATATATATATATATATATATATTTTTCTAAGCGAGGCTTAGATGTGGCACATGGCCGAAAGTATGGGGCACCCAGTGAGGATCGAACTCACTTTTCAGTCTTAACTGATCTAGCGAGACAAGCTTGCTAACCATTACACCACACCGAGGTGCCCAATTCTCAGGATAAATTACAGAAGTAGGGTACCCAGGCCTACTCGGATAACGTTCTTGCTTGCCGCGGGATTCCCACAGACAGGAACGACCAGAAGCCGCCGGTTACCGATGCAGACGCTCCTTGGATTTTCACCAGAGCCCTTGTGAGCCGGCGTGTGTGTCAGACCTGTCCGCCTAGGGTGGCCCTACCAGGAACGAAGTTCCGGGCGGTATAGCTCTGACACTACCGTTTACACCCCCCACCGACTGTGAGGTAAGGGTTGGACTTTGGGGCTTACAGTACCAGGTGTTCCCAAGCGGTCCCCCATCTAAGTACTGACCTGGCTCTACGATGCTTAACTATATATATATATATATATATATATATATATATATATATATTTGATTTGACCGTAAATATATATATATATATATATATATGAGATATGATTTATATATATGATATATATATGATGTCTAAATATATATATATATATATATATATATATATGATATATATATGATGTCTATATATATATATATATATATATATATATATATATATATATATATATATATATATCTAAATGAAATAATAATAATAAAAATGAAAGAATATTAATCTGTATAATTTTTACTATAGAAATATATTTTATGCTTTCATGGTATTTTGTTTTTACTTGGGTTTTCACTATTTACACGTAGCTGAGACCGTAAAAGTTGCTACCATCCTGGGATTAGGGTGGACCTGGGAAAATAGCAATTAAGAGGGTGTTCTTCGCTCCTCAAAAAAACACCTAAAATCCCGATCAGAAGCCTTGCTGCCGGATGTAGTTTATCGTCATACCCAGGAGTGCTAGTAACGTGATATTAATCTACGTGATTAAACAGTTCTTCACTTATCTTGTGAATCCAGTGTTTTCCTTTGGAAATTTTAAAATCCGAACTACGAATTGATACGATCATTAGAACAAAATTAGATATGACGGCGACATTATTGCAGTATCAGCACAACAGAAATTCGGCGTAATATCTCATTTGTTATGTCTTATTTCCGATGTTGCTGTTTAGTTAAATATTGATTACATCCCAGCTGTTGGGTAGTTACGTGGTTTCAGCTTCTAAATTGTTTAATGGTAAATTTTCATTTAAACACCCGAGCGCTATTATCCCTTAAAATTTTTCCCAAATGGTCTTATTTCCATGCAAATGTATATACTGAACTCAAATCAACAATTAGATATTAAAGAAACCTACCTTTTTGGATGTTAACGACCAGAAAAACATCGCTCTTTTTGTCATCCCTTACCGGCTTATTGATAAGTAATTAAGTGCTGAATTCTGTCGGTGGACGTATACAATTTGGGCCTATTTACTCCCTTCACAGTAATTTCTTGTAGTTAACTTTCAAATTAGGGTTAGGTGATTTTTTTTTTTTTTTTGGTTATTTTTTTTTTAAAAGAAGAAAGTTAACTTTCAAATTAGGGTTAGGTGGTTTTTTTTTTGTTATTCTTTTTTCTTTTTAAAGAAGATAGTTAACTTTCAAATTAGGGTTAGGTGTTGTTGTTTTTTTTGTTATTCTTTTATTTGTCGATGTTTACATATTTTGAAAGTTAACTTTATTCTTAAATTAAGTACAAAAAAAATCGCTTTACGGAAACGCGTACTAATTTCTGAAAGAAAATAGTTCAGCAGTAAATGACGCTTGGGTGTTAAAATGAAAATTTACCTGTTTAATTAACAAAGTCATCTTCGCCCTGGATATACTGCTGGTAGATCATTTTCATGTGCAGATTTAGCCCGCGACCGGCCGAAACTCGTTGTAGTTACTCTCTCTCTCTCTCTCTCTCTCTCTCTCTCTCTCTCTCTCTCTCAGCTAGACTTCTCCCTGCTGAGAATCCCTGGGATCACTAAACATAGAACTACTTACACTGAAATCGACAGTCGCCGCGAATGTCTCATTTGAAAGAATCAACAGCCGCGTTCCCGTCTTCCAGTTCGAAGACATCGGCTGCTGTCTCACCTGTAAATGAATGGGATCAGCCAGGTCTACTTTGTCCAACACACTCCAGGATCTCGGCTGTACAGCGAACCTATCACCACACCATGTCAAGAGTTTCACGATAAAGAATCTGGAAGTAACAGAAATGTGTTTCTACAGAAGGATGCTGAGAATACCATGGATTGAATATGTGAGCAACGAAGAGGTTTTACATAAAAGCGAAATAAAAAGGAAACTTATACATAACATCGGGAAAAGGCAGTTGGAATTTCTAGGGTACATAATGAGAAAAAAGGGTTTCGAAAATTTGATACTCACAAGACGGACAGGAAAACAATGCATGTCCTATCTAGCGAGCATAATTAATTGGATAGCGGAAAGTGCTTTAAGAGAGATAACAAAAAGACGAAATTTATTAAGATCTAGAAAGGACAGGAAATTTTGGAGAGCCATGCTCGCTACTGCCTTGAAGCGACACAAAATAGTGATTTTTCCAGACGTAGCTCAGTTGTGGCACAAGGCCGATAGTATGGGGCACCCTGTGAGGATCGAACTCACTACTCAGTCTGACTTGTTCTAGCGAGACACGCTTGCTAACAATTACACCACCTCGAGGTGCCATTTTCACTTGTAACAGTTTTAGCGAGACTAGCTTGTTAACCATTACACCACGCCGAGGCACCCAAAAGCGGCACAACATATAAAAGTTGTTGAGAATTTCACTGAAATATAATTTCCTCCACGAAAGATGCGCCATTTTTCCAAGCGTGGTTTAGATATGACACATGGCCGAAAGTACGTGGCACCCAGTGAGGATCGGACTTCACTTGTAACAGTTTTAACGAGACTAGCTTGCTAACCATTACGCCACGCCGAGGCGCCCAAGAGCAACGCCACATATAGAAGAAAAACTTTTTTGAGAATTTCCTACACTAAAGAAACGATTTCAGTAATGTAAAACTGCCAAAAATGAAACCCAAATGCAGTTCAAAATAATTGTCCGACCGAAGAGAAGGCGCCATATTATTGTGATTGAATTTGTGTCAAATACACTGTGACAGTTAAATTAACGTATAACCCAATATGACAGTTGAATAAAAAATATAATCGATCAAAAAGACAAATCTAAAATGCAATCAATGTTTACAATTAAATGTAGGCGCCTTCTGTAACGACAAACGATTTGTCTTCACAACAAGTCTATTAATAAAAATGAAAAAGAAAACAACTCGAAAGTGATATAATTTGAGCAAAAGTTTAAATAAGAAACAAAAATAATTTAAAAGAAAAATGAAATATACTGCATAGAAATCAGTTCACTCGGCGGTAATAATGAAATAGTCACTAATGAATTTAACTTCAAAATTCACGCAATTAAATTCGGTTTTAGGGTGAAATTCACAGACACCAGAATTGATTGTTCCTCGTTAAACTAGATTCTAAATATGAAATTCTGTTCCGAATAACAAAGCAAATAATAATTCCTCATCTGAAAAATTTCGATTCAAATCATTTTTTATCTTAATATGCTAGTGACAATACAGTCTATCAAGATATCTAGCAATTGAATAGACTCAAGGCATAATAGACTCATGCCTTCCTTATCAGAATTAACACTAGATAAACTGAAGCAGCCTCTGTTTAAGTTTCCGTGTTGGTAATAATAACACTACCAAAAATAAAATTAATAAATACGTAAGCATCTAACCGTGCGATAATAAAGTGAGGTTTAAACAGATATTTTCTATTGATTTATGACTTTGGTACTCACTGAGTGCCCCATAATTTGGGCCTTGTGCTAAGCTAAATTTAGCAAAAAATTTATTTAGTAAGATATAGTAAAAATATAGTAATCAAAATATAGGCAGCAGCAGCCGTAGCAGCATAATCAGCAGTCAGGTTAAGTTTAATTCTCTCAATTTACTACAGGAAATTGCCCTAGTGGATAAAAGCGTTAGTTTGCAAATTTGGTGACATAGTGGTTTTGAGTTCAATCCTTACGTCAGGTAGTGTGTACATGCACTCACTGGAAACGGACAAGCAATAACTAAATAGTACTAAATTAAAATAAGAACTAGATATGAGCAGTGAAACGAAAACATTCTGAGACCCCCCCCCCCAACGTAGATTAAATAAAAGATTCAGTTCAGAATTCCCTATAGATTACAGAGATCTATATGCACTTGAGGAAGGCCGAAATGTTTTGATAACAACATCAAAGATGATGACAATAGCCCACTTATAAATAGTGTAAATAATGATAACTTCTCATCCCCAGAAATTCAGACAAAAATTAAATTTAGTAAATATTACTTAATGGGTACCTTTTCGTGAGGTAATAGTCAATAGGCATGCTGTTACCACTGACTAGTAATTTTGGTTCTTATTTCTTATTTAGTGTCAGATCATGGTGTTTTTTTTTTTTATTTTTAGTAAATGTCTCCTTAATTAAAACTCTAAAAATTCAATTCTAATGAGCTATTGCCTTTATATGTTATTTTATCTAATTAACTTTCCTAATATGTATAAATAGACCCATAGCCAAAGCTCCACGCCAAAAAAAATCCTTTGATCGCCCCTTGTGAAAATTATGTGAACTAATTTTAGTGTGTAAATTCTCACTCCCCTCTCTCCTCACTTAAATAGGTCTGGTAACGAGCGTTCGATGGTTTGAGATTTCTTCTCTTTTATTCATTTACAGAGCTTACGATACTATGCCACATTCCATAATGTGTATCTTTTCCTAATGCGCTGCAAATGCAGACTTACGGCTTCTTTGCCTGTTTTGAGCGTCTGTTAGTTGTGAAGCAGACGCGCTTCAATAC